TGAGTGCTGGCCAAGGATACAGGAGGAGGCACTGTGAGCACCTCCCAGGAGGGGCTTCCCCTGTTTGTACCACAGGCCCATTCTGCAGTCTGGGAAAGCCCATGGCTCCTTTTCAGCAAAATATTTTAAAATATAAGAAACACACAAGATCAAAAAGGAAAGCAATAATGATGAAAAAGCACGGTCGTGGTTAAAGGAAATACATTTCAGCCAGAAGTGAAGTGAAAAACATTGTAATTTTTTCACTCTCTGCACAGAGCCCTGAGAGCTCTATGTGGAAATGGAGGACGTTCTCCCTGCCCCTCTCTTCTTCCCTGCTGCCTGGGATGAGAATGAAATGGCTGGAGCTAGAAACAGCTACTTTGGTCTTTGAAACAAAGAAGGAGCCCTGGACCAAAATCTAGCCACAGCCTGCCTACCTCCCTACAGAGAGATGAAGGTCTATCTCGTTAAACCATGGTTGGTTTATTCTTTGTTATATTCAAACCTACTCCTAATTGCTCCATCTCCAATACCGTTTCTGGGTAGTAAAATTAGAAACAGTTAAAACCTGGTCATTAGCAATGTTTAATCACCTTAAGACACACTTGTCCTTACCTACAAAAATGATCCCTCCAGAGTTACAAAGGAAGCTACATAGAACAGTTCCTCAGCAGCTGACTGCCTTCCAGGAGGCAGGTCCCAACGCATAGAAGGACAGCCGTCTGTCCCAGTGAGCCCCGCCCTGCAAGGCGTCCTTCAGCATGTGCGCCTGCCTGAGCACCACCCACTAACCGCAACCACACACCACCCTTCAAGTCCACAACCAGGTGTGTACATGTGCTACCTGACCCCACACAGACGCAAGCCCAAGGCACTGCCATGATAAGCAGGCCCAGGGGCCATTCCAGAGCTGGCGGAGGTGGCTCACAAAGTACTTACTAATTGTCATAGACTCTGGCACTGAAGCAGAAGGTAACAAGCTGCTCAGGGGACTTCCTTGGCCTGGAGAACTGGCTTCCACACTAGAAAAAAGCAGCAGAAGGAAGTTAGACGTGACCACTAAAAATGTAAACCTCACCATTCTAAAAACTACCAAAAATCGCTACTTGAAATTAGTCAATCTTCAGTATTCATATATTCCACATTTGCAAATTCATCTACTCACTAAAATTTATCTGTAACCCCCAAATCAATACTCAAGGGACTTTCACAGTCATTCATGAACACACTCAGACGAGCCAAAAACTTGAATCACCCAGGAAGCATGTTTCCAGCTACACTCAAACAAGGCAATACTCTGCTTTCTTGTGTCACCTTCATACCATCAACAAGCATCCTTTTTGCAATCTCTATTTAGCACCCCATTTTTAGCATTCTTGTACTTTTTGGTGGTGATTTCATTGTTTGTTTAAAATGTCCCAGAAGCACACTGGAATGCTGTCCAGCGTTCCTAAGCACAGCAGGCTGTGATGTCCTTACAGGGAAAATCTGTGTGTCAGATCAGCTTTGTTCAGTCCTGAGTGACAGCACTGTGGACCGTGATCCATGCTAAAGAATCACAACGTACATGAAATTAGGCGTCTTCACACAGGAGCAGGCATAACACTAGGTTATGTATTAACTGGCTGATAAAAATGGTGGGACCCGAGGCTCAAAGCAGCCTAACCCTGCAATTCCCAGGAGCTCTGATTCAGTCTTTTTTTTTTTTTTATTAAATCACAGCAACTTTGGAGAACACAGTAACTATTGCAAATAATGAGAACTGACTGTATATTTACAAAGGATTGCAAAGCTAAAAAATAACACTTTCACTTCTGAAAACAGCAGGGCCATCAGCACATGGTTAACACATACACACAGATTCACACATATACAAACACACAACACACATGCACATACACATTCACATACACAAACACACATGCACGCACACACTCACATACAACACACATGAGCACACATTCACATACACACATACATACAACACACATGTGCACACATTCACATACACAAACACACACTCACATACATACAACACACGTGCACACATTCACATACACACATATACAAACACACACACAACACACACACACACAAATACACACACGCACATACACACGCACACATTCACATACACACATACAAACACACAACACATACTCAAACACACCTGCACACACATGCACACATTCACATACACACACACAACACACATGCACACACATTCACATACACACATACACAAAGACACATGCACACAATTACATACACACCTATACAAACACACAACACACATGCACACAAATTCACATACACACATAAACACACATTCACATACACAAACACACATGCACACATTCACATACACACATACAAAAACAATACACACAACACACATGCACACACATTCACATACACACATGCAAACACATGCACACACACAAATATACACACATACACATGTTCACATACACACATATACAAACAACACACATGCACATACACACACATTCACATACCTATACAAACACATACAAACACACAACACACATGCACACACATTCACATACCTATACAAACACACACAAGCACATACACACACATTCACAAACACATACACCACACATACACACACATATACACCAACACACATACACACACATTCATATACACACATTTACAAACACACACATTCATATACACAAACAACACACATACACATATACACACATGCAGATACATATGCACATACACAAATGCACACAAACACACACAATGCTCACATACACATTCACATACACACGCACACATACACACATGCACACATACGTGCACACACACTCACATACACATACACACATGCTCACAGACACACAAACACGCTCACATACACATACACACACAAACATACACGCTCACATACATACACATACGCACAAATACACACACACACTCACACACACACCCTGCCTAGGAAGACAAGCACTGAAACATCAACAGTGTGATGGAGCTGGGAGTCAGACTGATAGTTTTACATTCACTGCTGTTTCTTTTTGTTTTTGTTTCTGTTTTTTCTTTTTTTTCCAAGACAGAGTGTCACTATGTCACCCTGGGTAGAGTGCTGTGGCATCACAGCTCGCAGCAACCTCAAACTCTTGGGCTCAAGCAATTCTCTTGCCTCAGCCTCCCTAGTAGCTGAGATCACAAGGGCCACCACAATGCCCAGCTATTTTTTTAGAGATAGGGGTCTCACTGTGGCTCAGGCTGGTCTAGAACTCATGAGCTCAGGCAATCCACCCGCCTCGGCCTCCCAAAGTGCTAGAATTACAGGCGTGAGCCACCTCACCCTGCTCCACTACTGTGTATTCTAAATTTTCTAAAATATACAATGGCTAAGGACCCAGAGTCCTGGGATTGTTTGATAAAACAAATCCTTTCTGATACTACTACCTGGCACAAACCTCTTCCAGTGTTATTTTCTGAGAGTAGAACCCCTATCTATTATAGGTGGGGCCATGACACCTAGCATGGTCCAGAGTAATCAGCAAGTCCTACTCTGGAGCTAAGGTTGAAAATACAGATGTGGGCCAGGCTCAGTGGCTCAAACCTGTACTCCCAGCACTCTGGGAGTCTGAAGTAGGAGAAATGCTTGAGGCAAGGAGCTCACGACCAGTCTGAGCAATGTAGCATGGCCCTGTCTCTGCAAAAAATTTAAAGAATTATCCAGGCATGGTGGTGCATGCTTGTAGTCCCAGCTACTCTGGAGACTGAGGCAGGAATTTCAGGTTGCAGCAAGCTAGGTTAACATCACTGCACTTGAGCCCAGCAGCCTGAGCAATAAAGCAAGACCTCATAGGGGAGGGGAGAAGAATACGGCATGTCTTTTGGGTGCCAGATACAACTACAAGAGGGACTCTACCGAAGAAATTCAAGTATTGTAACCTGGCTGTTTGTACATAACCTGAAATTTAAAAAAAGAAAAAGAAAAAAAAAACAAGGAAGGGAAGAAAATACGAGAAAAAAGAAGAGAAGAAGAAAAGAGAAAAGAATGCACATGTGATAGGTCCATGGGACCCCAAATTAGAACTGTGAAGAGAGAAGAATATAACCAGTAAGAGCAAGAAGGATGGGGCTCGGCGCCTATAGCTCAACCAGCTAAGGTGCCAGCCACGTACACCTAAGGTGGTGGGTTCG